TTTGTTAGGTTTTGGTATTAGTGTGATGTTGGCTTCGTAGAACGTTTGTGGTAGTTTTCCTTCTTTTTCAATTTTTTGGATGAATCTGTATAGAATGAACACTAGTTCTTTTCTGAATGTTTGGTAAAATTCATTTGTAAATCCATCTGGTGCTGGACTTTTATTTCATGAATATCTTTTAAGAGAAAAGCCTTTTCTCTTATTTTTCCCCTATGATAAATTTTTAGGAATAGGATTAAATCTTTGATTCTTATTGCTAAATCACCTCCATACAGGTCGTTCTAATGTATATTCCCATTAGCACTGTAAGAGAAAAAGCACCCATTCCACAGTGAAATCTCCCATGGTACAGTAGGTGATGTGGTTTCTGGAAGTGCATTATGGTAGAATGTAACCGTGGCTCACGTGAGGATTTTTGTTGCTCTCCAAAATCATTGGCTAGTTGGCAGTTGATATTCATTCAACTTACTATTCCTTTCAATAGTTTAGAGTCTTCAAGTAAAAATAAGAAAAAATTAAAAGCAGGTTCTTTTATGTGTTAAGTATATTAGTCTGAATTTTATTTGAAAAATATGTGTGTATTAATATGAAAATCTGCACTTGACTACATAGTTAAGATTTCGTCCCCGTTGAAACTAATATTTTTCTGTTTTCAAGAAAAATGCAGCCAGCCTTGGGAGTAGTCAGCTGTCTAGAACCCACGTTGGTGCAGTGGCCTCAACCACCAAGGTAAGTCATTTCTTCACCAGGAAAAAACCTGACTCTACAAGTATTTCATTAGCGGAAATGGCCTGATAGGAAGGCTCACAGTGCCTGCAAATCACCAGAGTTTGTGAACAAAATTTCATTTCTGTGCTGAGGAGGGTTTTGTAAGTTATTAATAATGATATGACTAATTTAAAGCCTAGGAAAGCCATCTATGTTATAATTCTTCCTCATACATAATAATGTATCTGATAAATATTAAGTACTATGAATCGCCCTAGGATCTCTACTGGACTTTTGCATAAATGGTGCATAGAAATATAGTCCTCTAATTCAGAAAATAATTCAGATTTAGCTGCTGCTAGTGACTTTGTGTAATTATCTTATGTAATTTCCTTACAACCTTATCACTTTATACCTGAGGAAACCAAGACTCAGAGATATGAAGTTACTTTGGGAAACAGCCAGCAAAATGGAGCAAGGGTTCAAACCCAGGTTTCCTGTTCTTACAGGATACTCAACAGGCCACTCCTCAGAAGCTCTTATAGAACATTTTTTGGCAACATAACACTTCAAAGTTTTGAAACTTATAACGATCAATAACATTTTACCTTTCCAGATTAGAAACTATAATTTTAGCTAGTTTTCAATATATAAAATAATTGTTTTATGTCCTTCCAGTATGTTTAAGATCCTCCAAACCTTAGATTATTTCAGGTTTAGCCCACACTATTATTTTTATCAATTTTTTGAGGTAAATTGTATTGAGGTACTGGTTTATATCATTGTTTGTATTTTTCAAGTACAGGATATCTCCATAGGTGTTGTTACCATAATGCTCCCACCACCGGACACCTGCAGGCCACCATCACTATGTTCCTGGGCTACTTTGTTCTTGTTCCCCTTTGCTCTTACCTCTCACCCTCTGATAACCTTAGTGTTATATTGAGCTTTCAAGGGTTAATATTTGAGTTTGACTTTATCTGACCCTTTCTTTATATTCTCCCTGCAAGTGATACCATCCAGTAATTGAGTTTCTTCTTCTGACTTACATTTCCTAGCATAATCCCTTCTGCCTCTATCCATGTTTCTGCAAATGGTACAAGATTATCTTCTTTGATAACCGAAGAGTATCTACAATCTATATACACCACACATTCTAGATCCACTCCTCTGTATTTGACACTTAGGTTGCTTTCAAGGTTGCTATGTAAATAGTGCTAGCATGAACATAGGAATGCAAGTTTCCCTTTCCCTTTGAATATTGTTTTTGTGTTCTTTGGTTAGATACCAAGAGTGGAATTGCTGAGTCATATTGCAGATTCTATTTTTAATCTTTTGAGACACCTCCATACTGTTCTCCACAGTGTTTGGACCAGTCTACATTCACACCATCAGCAGTATATTAGGGTTCCTTTTTCTCACATCCTTGCCAGCATTTGTTTTGGTCTTTTTGATGTGGGTCACTGTTACCAAAGTTAGGTAATACCTTATTGTACTTTTGATTTGCATTTCCCTAAAAAAGTGATGATGAACATTTATTCATTTGCCTACCACCTACAACTATTTAAAATAAAATCTTCCCTTTAAGACTGGTGGCTGATAAAGTCTATGGATATTCTTATGTGTGTTATTTGTTTGGTGAAAGTTGACAGTTTAGTACTTCATGGATCTCTGATGCTCTCCAAGCCCCTAATGGTGCCCAAATGAAAACTCAACTGAAAAATGAGAAGAGACTGGGTACAAATGTAACACCATCCATATTAAGAGAATTTTTTTTTTTCTTTAACTGAGGCATAAGAATCAGAGTTTCCCACAGGATGTTGTCATTCTGAGGTGGAATGTCAATAAAGAATGTGGACCTTTTCCCCCAGACCCTCCTCTGTCTCAGGAATTGGTGGAAGTGCAACAATTAGGAGATGGAGACATTTTAGCCATATGCTTATTATTTTAGTATTTCATAGTAAACTTGAAGTTCTTCTTGGATTCTAAAATGCTGTTCTGTGTTAATTCTTCTCTCATCTGCTTATTTTTCTCACTGTGGTTTCCTAACCCTACTTTTCTTCAATAGTTCACTGAATATTACTCTCCTTTGGGTTTTTTTATTCAGGTCTTTCTTTCTCATTTCTATAACTCTTGTAAGGTATTGGGTGAATAAAAACATATATTTGGCCCTCCCTGGTTGCACAGCGGGTTAAAGCACTGCACTAAGAAGCTTAAGCCACTTCCACCGCATGAGTTCGATCCCTGCCTGCCCTGGAAGTGTCCACATGGCGAGGCAGACCTCTCCTGACCCGCCTGCTGCTCCCCTCAGCAGTGTACTTTGATCATCTGCCTGTTCTGCTCCCCACTCTGTCTCTGGTGAATCCTCTCACCCTCCGCATCTCTGGCCTGTACCCCAGTTCTGTATGAATAAATAAATAAGTCTTTAAAAAAAAAACATATATTCACACACTCACACACACACACATTTTTTTTTTAAAGACTTATTTATGCATACAGAACTGCAGTACATGCCAGAGGTGTGGGGGCAGTGAGAGGCTTCACTCAAGACAGAGTGGGGAATAGAACAGGCAGATCCATGAAGTACACTGCTGAGGGGAGCAGTGGGCAGATCAGGAGAGGTCTGCCTCGCCATGTGGATCTCCTCCCAGGTGGGTGGGGATCAAACTCATGCTGAAGTGGTTTTAGCTTCTTAGTGCTGTGCTTTAACCTACTGTGCCACCAAGGAGGGCTCACATTTCTTTTTTTAATGACAAATTGAAAGGGCTTTAATTCAGTATAGTCACAGTATCATCATCCTTTAAAAATAATAAGCTCCTGTTCATCTTTTGGAATATTTGGGGATACTATTTGTGACTGTACAACCATGATTGCTTTTACAATATAATTAATTATTATACAAAAACAAAACAATATTCTCCCAACACAAT